CAATATGAAATATAATGTCGGGGATTTTCCATCTTAGACTTCCTACAGAAAAATCGAACACAAACGCATATGACGTCAGTATGTATTTTCCTGGTCACACTTGAATTACAAACGCATGCATAAGCAGAACAGTCATGTTTTTCTGGTTAAGAGATTGGATATAGACACTTATTAAAAATATGCAAAAACATGTTTATTTGGTTACGAATAGCCCTAGTCGAAAAACATTAACTAAAAAATAATACATCTTTCATTTCGCAATAGAAAAGATTGAACGATAAAAGGTCCTGATATGGAACTTCTACCACCGCTACCTACGCCGAAACCTATTAAACGAAAAAAGCTGGCAGCAAGTAATCATTTAAAGAAAAAATTACCACGGATAAGTATGAATGATCTTGTATTTGAGGATTGTTTGGGTAGGGGTGGTTTTGGCACTGTTTATAAATGTTACTGGCTATCAAAACAATTGACTGTCGCATGTAAAATCATACATGTTAAACGGAATGTTGATGAAAGTTTGGAAAAAAGCTTTTTTAGAGAATTAGAAGCCTACGCAAGCCTATCAGGACCAAATATTCTAAAAACATTTGCCTATGGTCATGAAACGTTATCTGGAGGAGGAGTAAAATATGTATTGGTGATGGAGTACATGAAAAAAGGAAGTTTAACCATATTATTAGAAAACGAAAAGTTGTCTTATTCGAAAAAGTTGAAGTTTGCTTGTGACATAGCGTGCGGAATGCTGAAAATTCATGAAAATAATATGATTCATCGTGATATTCGTCCCGATAATATACTAATAAATGATGATTATGTGGCTAAAATTGGTGATATGGGAATTGCGCGGAATATGAGTTTGTCATCAAACCATACTAGGGATATTGGATGCCTTGTCTACATGCCACCAGAATATCACAACGTTGATGAAAAATATGATAAATCATTGGATATATTCTCATTTGGATTGACGTTACTTGAACTGTTCACAACTCCATGTAAGAACAATAAACCGTGTCACGTGTTCGATAATTCGACAAAAAAGGTCGTGATAAAAAAGAAGAGTCCGATATTTTGGGATTTAATCTCTCGATGTTTGGATGATGATCCTAAACGCCGCCCGACATCGGTTGAAATTAATCAAATTTTGAATCGTTACAAGGCAGCATTTGTCGATGCAATTCAGACAAAATATGTTTATTACAACGAGGTATCAGAAAGAATTCGAAATAGCATCTTTTTGGAAGTATACGAAAATTTGCATTCGAAACTACAAGTAGCACCTCTTCGAGACACAAGATCGATTGATTGCGTACACCTTCCTAGTTTACAAAGTGAATCTCAGCCGATAATACCACCTCCACCCCGAGTAAAATCGGATCCCATTGGTAAACAGGAGAACAAATTACCATACCCTACGATACAAAACTCCTCTCTAATGAATGCTGAACAAGCAATAGGATTTGAAAAGCTTTATTCTCCACTTGGTTTTAAACCCGATGTACCACTTGGATTTGGAAGAATTGAATCCAAAATATACGAAACAAATTATTTGTCCACACAAGGGATATTAGATTTTCTCTAATATAGTGTAGCCGTTGTCTAACATAAATTATCAGTTCAACTTTCTTCTGGTTCCGGAACGTCGAAGGCTAGACTCCATTGTTCCACCGGAAACCTAAAAATGTTTTAAAATAATATTTTAAAGCTAAACCTGTTTTTATCGTTCATCTATAGTAAAAAAGAAGTAAGATCTCATATCATTTAAAAATGTGAATGCACTGTAATAAAGTGTTTGTTATCTTTGTTCAGATGTTTGGTTTTTATGTAGACTGAGTGAAATGAAAGGAGTTAAGTCGACTGAGTGACCTAGCGTTGCCTAGCAAAATTTTTTTCTTTCCATACCGTTTTTCTAGTTCGATTCAGATACTCATTCTAGGTTATAGCTGATCTGATATCTTTCTGAAGAACTTTGCCGTTTTCTGTATGAGATAATTAATCGTCACGTGATATACTTCATGGTGAATATATGCTACAGTGCTTGATATGATAAAACCTATGGTAGACACGATAATGAATCAGCTGATATGTCAATGTAAATAATATGCCGTAGAAGGTACGCAGACAGTTATGACGTTCTGGATGTTCTAATTTCGTCTGTTTACCGTTTCACTCGGTTGACTTTCCAGTCTTCCCGAAAGGTAGTTAGCATCTAGTTTGTTCTTCTTTTTCTCTCTTTATTTTTATTTTCACTTGGTGTAGAGGTAGTAGCATCTAATTACAAGTTTTTTTTCGTTTTGCTGTCTTTCTGTTTGTATTTTTTGTTTCCTCAGTACAATAAACTGTGTTCGAGTTCAAAAAAGTTCAATAGTCAAAAGAAAACCGATTCATACATTTAGACATAGATATACTCGATCCATTCTTGTTTCGTCGACACTAATTTCTTGCTCGATTCTTCGACACTTTTTTTGTGCATTGTAAAACATGTACTTCTAGTTGCAATTATAAAGTTTTTATTTCAAATAATTATGCAAACAATATAGTCTTGAAAAATATTTGACACGATCAAACCTTTTTAACAACTACTATTTTTGATACCATACACAAAAAGTCATTTAAATTTATACTATTTTGTTTATATCTATCTTCTAAATTATATAAACAATGATTAGGATTGACGTATAATTTCTTACGTGGCGGTAAACTATTTTTCTTTGCACAAGTTTTTTTCAAGGCTATATTATATGCATGATCATTTTGGATTGATTGGATAAATGTATAAAAACCGGCTTTTTTACGTTTGCTGTCGACGATGGAAAACATATAGTAGAGTAAAATGTAGGTAATAGACAGTATTCTTGGTAAATAGATAATTTTGTGAGTTCAGTATAAGAACTCACAAAATTGCTCAGTTGATCTTTTTTATTGAATTTTATTAACTTTTTTAAAATTTAAAATTGTAATATACATTTTTATAATTGCAACTAGAATTCCATGTATTACAATGAATAAAAAAAGTGTCGACGAAACAAGAATACCCCGATATACTCATATGCAGATAGTAATGCTAGAATAGAACTTTATCTTAAACCTTATACTATAGCATAAATTCATCTTGTATAATCTTGTAATATCAGTTAACTGACCATGTACTGTCAAGTTTTCTAGACCTCGATAAATTTTTTCATTTTTTTTATAAATATGTAACAGAAGCACATTTTTTTTCTCACTATTATTTTTTTATAATTATTTCTCAACAAAAAGTTTAAAAATAAATGAAAATTGTAGTATTATAATAGAGTCAGTCGCAGTTTCATGAAATGAATAATTATGCCATAACCGAATAACCATATTTTTGCATATTTTCAATAAGTGTCTGTACAGTAACCATTCTCTTAACCAGAAAAACATGACTATTTTGCTTGTACATGCAGTTGTAATTCAGGCGTGACCAGGAAAATACATACACTGACCTCATACGCATTTGTTTCGGTTTTTCTATAGGAAGTCTAAGATGGAGAAATCCCTGACATTATATTTCATATTGGTCAAACGTAGACCATAAATAAGTGATGCAATAACAGAACAACATCTTTCGTCTTGTGTTGAGGTCATGCTACCAATACAGGATAATAAAAAAGAAATGAAGAAACCAGCAGCAGCTTCTTTGTGAACGATTATCCAAAATGTAACGTAGTGTATTGCCTCTAAATATAAGTAAAACTCACCACCTTTATATCATCTCCATCTTAGACTTCCCAGAGAAAAACCGAAAGAAACGCATGTGACGGAAGTGTATGACTTTATCACAGCGCATTCACATTTTTAAATGAGGTCTTAGTTCTTTTTTACTATAGATGAACGATAAAACAGGTGTAGCTTCAAAAGAAAAAAGCTAGAGGCCTGCACGGGTTAAGAAAATGTAACGTGAACCCGATCTGACAACATTTTAACCCGAACCCGACCGGACCCTAGGGTGTGGTAGGGTTCGGACCGAGTTCAGGCCTTGAAGGTCTCTAGTCTAGTCTTCGACATTTTGGAACAAGAAGAAAGTTGAACCATATAGACTGAGAAAGATATTAAAGAGGTGATCTTTATTGTAACAAAATGTGTGATAAAAATCTCTTCTTGATCGCTTTGGTGAGACAGTTGTGTCCTGCGGCAACACAAAAGAAGAATAAACGTGGCCTTTCTCATCAGACACCTGCTGAGTGCTTACCATCGTTTCAATCTACAAACAAATATAACTGATTACAATAGTCGCAAGACATAGGTATAAAACGCTGTGTCATGATTGGACCTGCACGCTACTGCCGCCGCCGAAGGCGTCGACATCTTTGGGAGCTTCCTACAGCCGCCGATGCTAAAAAGACAAACTTGTTTCAGCTTCCGCCGATAGAAAACGTTTTGGAATAAAAAAGTCATGAGAAACTAGAAAAACAGGAAGTTATATTGTAATTAGCGACATTCACAACATGAAGATGGAACTACGCTTAACCGTCATATACGGGCGCATATGCATCATCATATACATTATTTCTATACAGCATTTTGACGGTCAGAGATAGATCTCTCTTCAGCTTTTGAATATGACTCACTACTAAATGGAAAAAAATCACTGGTGCCTCTATCATGTATATCAACATTACATAGGCATTATCTATATAAGATGAGAATTCCGATCAGTCTTAATTTAATTTAAATTTAAAAAATCATTTAACCTTCACCGCTCGGAAAACTTTTGTCACGCGCTCTAGAAAACTGTTTCGTTACTCGAAGTAATTTCATTGGAAAGACCATCGTCCGAAACCTATAGACAACATCCTTGGAAGCGTTTCGTTTGTTTTATCCTGAACTTTAAATTTTTAGCAGAAAATTGTTTGTGTGAATCCCAAAATCTAAGAAAATTGTAGAATTCAAAATTTTGCAACCAGAACCAGATGAGTTATACATCATTCGACGCAGCTTTTGCGCTGATTCTGAATATGTTATTATTCTTTGTTTTCAATGTTTCTATGCAGGAGAAAAGCCTAAAATATCTTAAAAACCGAGGGTTTTTGGAAAACCTATAACTCCGGCTAGGAACATGTATGCTATTTTATGTTAACTGTATAGATGCACGGGATGGCGAAAAACATTCCCTGAAAGTCTCGTTTAATTTGGACTTGCGCTAAAGTGCGCGCACTCACTACGCTGAAGACACCTTTGAAAAAAAACGCTTAGTTAAGAAAGAACGGTAACTGCTTTCGTTACGAAAGGCTTTCAGACAAAAGTTTTTTTAGCAATCGATACAGACTTTGCCGCAGTTTCAGAATATGTCTTTGTTTTTCTAAACGGTTACCCAGATTTTGCGCATAATCCAGTTTTCTAATAGTGCCATTGTTTTCGATCTAGTTTTACTTAGCAATGTACTGACTAAGTTTCGCACTTAGAAAAAATTGCCAGTGGTAAAAGTATATGACACACTATTCAAATCTTGAAAAATCTCACTTTCGTTATTTTCCCTAATGCCTGCTTGGTTGCGCACTGTGCGTAAGAAGAGACAGAAGAAAACAGCTGTTTGTGTCCACGTTAGTTGATCCTCACTCTGTAATGATGCACCATAATTAATTTAAAATTTTTCTGGGGATAGGATATCCTTAATCTATCGGAAATAGATGCCTCACAAAAAGGACAATAACAATGGATGCTTTCAGCATCCATCACGACTTAAGCACGCAAAATGTTTTATTTTATCCTCGTAGTAGTGATCATGGCAAAGATGCTAATTCAAATCATCAATTTTAACTGTTACTATATAATACTGAATGTAACGGTTTTTATTATAATCAAGTGGAGAAACCCCACAGGAATCTATTTCTTGTATACCTCTTGTGACTTCTAGTAAAACTAGAATTCAAGGAAGACTGTTAGCTGATGGGGAGTGAAAAGATGTTTTCGTCGTTCCCGCAGTAAACATTTTTTATTAGTGATTTAGCTAAAGCAGCAGTTTGGACACTGACAACGTAGACTCTTACTTGGCTCAAATTAGCACAGTTGAATCATTTCGGTCCCTAGCGGTCTTGTGAAAGCTGATAATTACAGTTTTCATATTCTGATTAGCCTCGATATTAAGATTGCATTGTCAAGACATTGAGATTTTCTCGTATCACTTTTAGTTCTTTGGCTCACTCCTCTGTAACAGTAAAAAATTATATGTCTCTGGTTTTGAATTATTTCCCTATTTGGGTCACAGTAAATGGAATGTGGATCAATAATACGCTCGTTGAAGCTCATCATCAGGCAAAGAAGCCACTGATTCATACGCGTCCTTAACTCGGATAAGGGAGAATCAGCCGTGCTTTCTAGTGGCTGCAGACAGACATTTGAGTCGCGTATCTCTATTTTTTGTTTTTGTCCTCTCTCTCCGCTGTTTCTTCTTCAAGTCTTCTTCATCCAGCACGAGTATTATCCTTATGCTACAGCAACCAAACCTTTTTCAAGATCTGTTTAACTCGTTCGGGAGCTAAAGAGATGGTACAGTTGACGGCTTCGATGTGAAAAGTGTGTTAAAATCATGAACACGTCTCAAATCAACGACAAAGT